CTATAAATGCGCCTAAACATGAAATAGATGTGTAATAACAATATAAGTACTAAAACTTTACAAATAACAAATAACAAGAGGACAATTCCATATAATGGTTGAAATTATGCCTATTCAATGAACAAGATCAAATAACAATATAAAACTAGAACTTTATAAATAACAAATAACAAATTAGTAAATTACTAGTCTACTATAAGTTAGTAAATTAGTAAATCAACATTAAACAGTTTACTTGGCAGTTAAACAACATAAGGACATGGTCAATTCAAGCTAACAAGAGAAGATGAACTGTATATTGATAGGATTACACAGGGAATGGTTGCACCGCTTGAGATTTTTTAGTTAGGTCATTATCCTTACTAAAATCATTATCATAGGAATTTCAAAAATCAAATTATTACATTTTTCTCTCTGTTGCAGACGAAGCCCAACAGAGAGGAGATGTTGCTGCTGCTGGTCACCGAAGGGAGCTGATGCTGGTCACCGGAGGGAGCTGATGCTGATCGCCGAAGGGAAGGCCTGGACCTTCTGGTGTCGCCGGAGGAAGTGAGAGAGGGAGTAAGGTGAGACCGTGAGACTTGGGAGAGAGAGATGGGCTTGACCGGAGATGACCGGAGGGAGATGGACCTTCTAGTGTCGCCGGCGAGAGATGTTGCCGGCGGCGGCGCTGATAGTCGTCGCCAGAGGTCGTGAAAGAGAGGCACAAGAGGAAGAGGCACCGGAGGCGGCTAGGGCATTCGGGAGTCAGAGAGAGGAAGATGGGTTTTAAAATATAGGTTCGGGTCGGGTTCGGGGAGGGTTTTAAGTTTAAACAAATAGGTTTAGCGATTTTTAGCGCTAAAAACCCCGATTTAGCGCTTTTGACCGCGTTTCGAGCAAAAGGTTTTTTCGGCCAAAATACCCCGCTATCCCCTATATCGGCGCGGTGAAGCCCCGCGAGCACGAAAAGCGCCGCGATAGCGCCGCTATTTCCCGCTTTTTACAACACTACAGAAGATTGTGCTTCTGCCTCATTCTCTACCGCTTATGGCTCAAGCAAGAAGAGGAAGACTAAGAAGGATGATGGATACGATGAGTTGGAAAATGCCGCCACTGTTATTGGCCATAGCATTGAGAAGTCGGCCACACTATTTTCTTTAAGAGATTCTGAGTTATTGAAGAAGAGTACAAATGTTGTTAATGAAGTCACGAAGATGACTTCATTGATTGATGAAGGAAAAGTTAAGTTTGTTGGAAGCTTGTCGTAGAGGAAAAGTGTGTTGAACTTCTTTTGAGTTTGCCAACAACAGATATGAGAGGAATCTCTGTCACAGATATTGGAAGGATCCACAAAGGTGATTGTGTTATTCCCTTATTCATACTAGAGTTTAGAACTCTTTTTGAAAATATTTTGATTTTTATGTTGGATATTTTGTTTTGTTTCTATGTTTGATTTTACAGGCACTATTTCAAACTCAATTAACTGTAGCTATCAAAATGTGGATGTTCTGATTGAATGAATGATTCTTGAAACAAGTTGTTACATCATTATGTTGTTGGTTGTTTTATGTCTAGTACATGCTTAACCTTTTTATTATGTTTTATTGAGGTGCGGTTTATTAAGGAAAGAGATTGCATTCTATTATTCTGTATGTGTTACGATAGTGTCTTGAATTATGGATAGGCAAAGTGATACATATTTGTGATATGTCATGCTCAAAAGGTGATTGTGTTGGAGTTGAAAATTTGCTTGTAGATTAAATATTATTTGAAAAGTTATTATTACTATATATATATGAGTAAAATATATATCTTTGTCATATGAGGGGAATCTCTCATATAGCAATGATGTGGCTCAATCTGCACCAAGTGCACAAATGAGGAGAGGAGAGAAAAAGCACATAACACTTGGTTGAGATGGAGCCACATCATTGTATATTAGAGAATTCCCTCGCATGACATATAATACCCATTAACCTATCTCATCTTTCCCCCTTCTCTCTCTCTCTCTCTCTCTCTATATATATATATATATATATTAATATTAATATATATTAGAGAGAGAGAGAGAGAGATTAATGAGTATCCTTGTCATAGTAGGGATTTCCTCTTGACGCCTCTAAAATCACATGATTGAGCGACATTGTGGATGATCCGCTCCGTTGAACTTGATCTACATATTCTAAACCCCAACACACCATGTATATATATAGATCAAGTTCACGGAGGCGGATCATCCATAATGTCGCTCAATCATGTGATTTTAGAGGCGTCAAGGAGAAATCCCCTCCTATGACAAGATACACATTAATCTCATATATATATATATATATATATATATATATATATATATATATATATATAATATATATATATATATATATATAAGCGTTAAAAGGCATATGCCACATCACTGCGCCTCATGCGCCCTGCAATGCAGGGTGGTGGCTAAGAGCTCTGCATCTAATGTAGCTAACGTTTTTTATAAATCAGCGTTATCAAAGGCATATGTCTCACTGCGCCTCATACGCCCTGCGATGCGAGGCGGTGGCTAAGAACTCTACATCTAATGCAGCAACGCCTTTTTGCGCCTTGTAAGCGTCTTGTGTGCGCAGGGCACATGCAAGACATAACCTTCTATACTTTTGCTCCTTAACATATAAATCGAATCATTATACTCGATAACCCATATTCCGAAAAAGCATAATAAACTCTAATTGAGGATCCTAAATGATCCTCTTTATCACTTGATTTTGCTAAAATATTAGTCTTGATTTGATTTTTTATTTGAAAAATTATTAACTTTGCTACTAGGTTAGATGTGTTAGCATTATGAGTTAAGATCATATTTTGTGATTGGCTAGTAGATATTATTTATCTTGACATATTTTTATGTGAAAATTCATTTTTCAAATATTTCACCATCAACTTCTTTTGTTGGAAAAGAGTAACCAACAGCTATCATGCCCCAAATCTTCCAGTGATGTGCGTGGATGTAGATTCTCATAGTTGCCTCCCAATAAGCTTTGGCACCAATGAATAATGGAGGCCTATTTGTAGATCTTTCCTCTGGAATAAAACTACTGCAATGTGTGTGAAATACGAGTAAAAAATTTTGTATTTGCACATATAATGTTCTGATAAGTGAAAGAGCTGGTTTTTATTTATGTATTTGTTTTTTTCCTACTGTAGAGAACATTTATTATATTCGAGAATACAAACTTACAATTTGTTAAAAATTTAACATGGTAATTCTTTTGAAATTTCTACTAAATGAAGAATGATTTGAGTGGTCGCAATTCATTTCATGTTGGAGTCTATCAAGATAATTTTATCTATATTTTTTATTAATGGATTTATATATAATTCATTTTCTAAACCAAAAATAAAGTTTTAAGATGAACAAACTATATAGAGGACTAGGATTTATAATCCCAATTCTAGGAACCAAACATAGGATTGGGATTTTGAGCATCATAGTCCCAAGTACTTCGAGCATGGAACCAAACATAGGATTGGGATTTTGAGCATCATAGTCCCAAGTACTTCGAGCATGGAACCAAACATAGGATTGGGATTTTGAGCATCATAGTCCCAAGTACTTCGAGCATGGAACCAAACATAGGATTGGGATTACAAATCCTAATCCTACCTAATCCGAGTCATAAGTCAAGTCGCAACCCAATCCCATCAAGAACCAAACACTGCCTAATCTATTCAAAGGGTCGAATGGGAAGATGCCTTCAGCAGCAATTGGCAGAAGTTGACCATAAGAGAGACTGGTAAAACACCACAACAAGGTTAAAGTATATTTGGGAGCACCAAATGAGGAACTTCAACAGATAGGAGAAAATAAATATTGCTTTTATAAATTTGTGATCATGTCACAGCTGCTTGATTATCACCTAAAACCAGCAATTCATGCAACATTTAGCTCGCCTTCTCCCTTTATAAAGTGACTGAGTCAGTTTTCAAACCTACTCAAGAGAACATGAGAATATTTAAGAGTGGAACCTTGAATTGGTTATTTCCTCCCTCTTTGCTTACAGATAAGCATTAGGAATAGGTAGTGCCTAGTGGCTCTGGCAATCCCAAGATGAAGTCCATGAAGATAATTTGACATGATCGCTTCCAAGTTTCAATGTACAAGACAATCAAGCTTAACCAACCATAAAAGCAAGAGGTAAATTAAACAGAATGTATCTGAAGATGTATAAACTATACTGAGCTGATATGAAAAGCACTATAACTGCCTTCAGAAAAGGGCAAAAAGGATAAGAGGAAGAAATGTTATGAGGATAGCAATAAAGCCATTTACTAAATTAAAAAAATAGTGCCTCTGACATGATTTTGTCACTGCAGATTGATTACCCCAACCCTAACAGCAGATTGCAACGAATTCAGGTTCAGATAATTACATGTCCAACCAAAGAAGCAATCTGAATTGTTGATTTGGGTTGTACTTCAACGTAACCAAAATCTCAGTTTTCCCACTTATACCTTGCAAACCATTAACAAGCCATGAAGTTATTTGATGCAATAAATTACCTTCAGAAGTAATAATGTGTGTGCAATACTTAGGTCTTAAAGATTTTTTGACACTTAACTTCCCTAACAAGCTGATGTGATATCTTGATTGAAGAACAACTCACAAATTACAGCATGACCTTGACGACGAGATAATTTTTTCTAATTGGGTCTTTAAATGGATAATTGAATTTCTATTCACACAATATTACAACCTATATAATGGGAACAGAAACTAAGATAGTTGTGAACATATGAGCTCTTGTATTAGATCAGTGTCTCGGCCGTAAAAAAAATCAAATGCAGTTATATTAAAAGGTGGCATGCAATTGATACTTCATTGTTGTGAATATCCTACAAAATGATAATATAATAACTACTGAAGACATAAGTGCATTCAACACTTCAACAGTTAGAAGCATAGTCATGGTATATTGCTATAAGAATAATATCATAACGCTTTTAAGAAACAAGTTAAGTTGCCTTCTTACCAAATAATGATGCAATCAACGAGATTAAACGCTCTTCTAACTCTTCTTGGTAGCTCTCTTTCTTATTTTTCTTGCTCACAGGAATCTAAACATCATATAAGTCACATCAGTAGTGAAAGTCAAAAAAATTTATGAACACAACATTGCATGAGTGGAAGGATTAACAAAACATGAATGAAACCAGCAGTTCGCATGCGCATAGATCAACTAAATATTAAAAAAATGAATTCCAAATACACAGAATCTGGACCCGTGGAATGAATGACGACTCCCAATAAATCCAAATGGATTATTAAGAAGGCTAAGTTGCCAGTCAAATAGTTTTGGAAACTGAGACATTCATGTGTCAAAATTTCCAAAGCAATGAGACCTCTGTTTCTAGATTTCGTGAGACGACTACTATGCAGAAGGCCTTCCATGATAAGAATGTTGCTCGCTCTTTATACAAGGAAAATGTTTTTCAATTGTTGTTCTGACCCCTTTCTGTTCACCAATCTTCCCCCATCAAGATTGTATTGTTTGTTAAGCCAAATGTATTCTGGTGGGTATGTCACCAGAAGATATCATTCAATCAGAATAAAAATTCATCTCTTTATTTGACCTATTTTTTGACAAAATATGAACATCGAACATTATTTTCTTAGCAACATGGGTAAGGATATGAATACTGCTAATAAGAAAAGTATATGAATAAATATAAAATAATAGAGTATACAATCGAAGTTTGAATAAAAAATGTCTTATGGGTGCATATGTATGTGTGTACATATTGAGAAAAGAGTCTTTGGTGCATATACTAACCTCAATGTAGATTTCCCATTCTCCCTAAAGTGAAATTAAAAAAACAAAACATTAAGCTGTTAGGATTATAAGTCTAACCACTAAGTTTTTTGACCTTGTCACGTAAAAGCTCCCATTAGCCAAAACTGTAGATTTTCACTAATCTTCCCAAAGCAAGTCGATATAAATGGGTTTAGCACATTAGTAAGCTATCGTGATGGTTACTTAGATCTTCTTTTCTTTCCATGACCTGCTGTATTGCTAATAATCATATAAAATGCAAGAGAAATTCAGATAAGAATAAGGGAAGAACTTGCCTTACCCATGAAAGCTGCAAATGCAGTCTTCAACCCCAACACATCAACAAACCTCTCACACGCTGGTGGATACTTGGTCATCGCAAAATCCAATGCTCTAATGGCTGATCCATAAGCCGACTTCTTCTGCTTCATAATAATAATCATCAGCTCAACCCCTTCCGACTTCATAAACCTCTCCTTATTCTCCATAGGCATCAACAAACAGCACAAACAGTCAAACAAGTTCTCCAACATCTCCTCCTCGTCCGCACTCTTCGGATCCCTAGACTTATACATCGCGACAGCTTGAAGAACCCCATCAACCCCATTCATCTGCCCCAATCTCTTTTGATTTGCAGTACTCGTCTGCAACAAAATAGCTAAAATCTCAGAAGCATATTGCTTATTCCCATCAAATTCCCGAACTTTAATCCGACCAAGAAGCCACCTTAACAACTTAGTCCTCTCACAGACCAACTCAGCCACCGCCGGCTTTACTTCAATCATGTTCTCAATAGTGGACAGTGTATTATAAATAGCCGCAGCCTCATCAGGATCCGACTCTGATAACCTCCCAATATTTTGCACAAGCAACTCAAGTGCATTATTCTCCACCAGCGCATCAACCAAGACCTTCGCTGGCTCATCGTTATCTTCAAGAACGTCCTCGTCCGTGAGATCGACAAGGAGCGAGACGACGTCCATGGCGATGTCCGTGTTGTCGTGCCCAAGGAGGCCTACAATGGATGGGACGGTGTTGAGGGCGACGAGATCAGGGTAGAGATCGGGGCCGCCGGCGAGGATCTTGAGCTTCTGGATCTCGTCGTGGAGCTCGACCTCGGAGTCGGCGAACTTCTCGGGGTTGTCGGGGTACTTCATGCGGGCCTCAAGGTTGTCCCTAAGGCGGCGCTCGAAGGAAAGGACGATCTTCTTTAGGGTTTTGAGGTCGAGGACCTCGACGCCGGAGGTTTGGGATTGCTCGACGGCCTCGAGGAGAGAGAGGTCGAAGGCGGGAGCGCCGTTGGATTGAGGTTGAGAGGGCGGCGGTGGTGACGGGAGATCGTCGCGCTTTCGTTTGAGGCTGGAAGTAGCCATTGTTGGGTTGAAGAAACCCTAACCCTAAAAATCGAAAACCCTAGCTTTTTTTGGCTTAGGGATTTTTTGAGCAGAAGAAGGGACGGAGAGGTTCCTACTGAGAAATTGATGGAAATCCGTAAAGAAAAATCATTTGTTAAAAGAAGGGCTTAATTTCATTCATTTGTTAAAAGAAGGGCTTAATTTCATTCTGGTGTCCCTACGTTTCACCCATTCCACCCGGGTACCGAAAGTTCATGTTTGCCTATTTGATGGCCAGAGTGTATTCAAAAAAGAAGAAATTTTCAAAATTTCCCATTCCAGATTTTATTCCCAAATTTCGACCCACTTCAACCTTTATTACGAAAATCGACCAATTTTCTCATCTCGTCAGCATCGTGACCAGAAAGTGAGTCGATTTCTTTTAATCGTGTTTCTATTTAGTCGGGGTTGCCAACATCGACTAATTAGGAGCTCGTGCATGCCACCCTGCTGGAGTTTGGCAGCTAAATTAGTCGGGGTTCAAAACCCCGAGTAATTTAGTTGTCTCCTAAATGGTCGAGGTTGGGAACCCCGACCATTTAGCAGAGAGTGACCAGCCGCAAGTTAAAGAAGTGGGAAATTAGCTAAGGGACACGATAGTCGGGGTTGTCAAGCTCGACTACTTGTTCTAGGTCTCACCCCCTATATAAACCAACCAAAACTCTTCTCCCCCAAACTCATCTCTCCCAGCCGCCTCTCTCTTCTCCAGCTCTGTCGCTCTCTCGTTTTGCTGTCACTCATCTCAATTTCAACCACATTTTGTGATCGAAATTCGTCCTGAAATTTTGCTTAAGATCTCTAGGGTAATTTCTCTTCCTTCTCTCCTCTTTTAACATTTAGAAATCTAGGGTTTTCTCTCAAAAACGAATTTTTAGAGTTTGAACTCTATTTGTGGTGGTTCGAATGCTTTGTGTGTTGATTGTTGTAATTGAAATTAAACTTTTAGGGCATAGAATGCTCAATTCTAGGGTTTAGAATTTTCAATTTGGGGTTTAGGGTTTTTGGTCAAAATTATATGAGATTATTTGCATCTTGGATTTTCCTCTTATTCGATGCCCTGATAATATTTTTTAAATTTATTGTATTTAAATGATATAATCTTCTTTTGCATAGGTTGAACAATATGACTTTTATTGCTTGCTCTTATGGTGAAAAAAATAATCATGGAATGAATAATATGTCAATGCACGTCGGAGGGGTAACGACGCCATTAATGATCTCGGAGTCATATAGTTTATGTGGCTTGGTTAAGGAATTACACCGAGTTACAAAAATTGACCCATGAGAATACCGACTAAAAATAATAAGCAATTGGCCCATAACTTTTGATAGAACGTCCACAGTTGAGATCTCAAACGATCATCATATGAGTATTATGTTTAATTTGAGCAAGCCGCAACCAACGGTATAATTGTTTATTGAAAAGTTGTCATATGGTTCATGTCAAATATTCAAACCTCCAAGAGAATTCTCACACATGTTAGATCTGGGAGTTGAGTCTGATGGTTTTCTTTCTTCTTCAAGTAAAATGGAGCGGACTCAATTTCAATATCACAATGGTGTACCTTCATTCGGTGGAACATCAAATGTCATGAACAATGAAGTCCCTTATGAAAATATGAGGCCATTAAGAGGGGCAACAATTGAGAAGGATGAAAGAAGCAACGACTCTGAAGGTGAGGAGCAAGATAGTGCACCAATTGATAGCATGCAGTTTGTGAGTGAATATGTTGAAGAGAATTTGGATTGGCCTGATGAGTCTTATGTTAATAATGAATATGTTGAGTACGCACCCCCCCCCCCCCCCCCCCGACGAGTTTGAAGATGATGAGTGGATTCGTTCTACCACAGTACAAGATATATACATTGGCCAAAGTTCAACTCATAAAGGAGATGATGACGTACCTTTCAGAGTTTGTAATTTATTCGATACTAAGGATCAATCGGTTGATGTTATTCGTGATTACTCAATTAAAAAGAATGGAAAATTCAAGCAAGTTAAAAGCAATCGAACAAGTTATGATGCAATATGTTTTATGAATACACAAAGGAAAGGTTGAGCCGAGGGAAATAAAACTGATTACGCATGTCCTTAGAAGTTATATGCATTTGCCGGAAAGAAACATAATGGGCATTTTAGGATCACAAAATACTACGGTGTTCACATATGTGGCAATCCGATACTAGAGCAAGATCATAGTGGTGCATCTGCCTCTTACATAGCATGGTTGATTATGCCAAAACTAAAGAAGAAACTTGAACTAACTCACAGTAATATAATTAAGAGAGTGCTAGATACAAAGTTCATTGAAATATCATATAGTAAAGCATGGTGTGCAAGGAGAATTGTGATGACAAAAATATTTGGTGATTGAGAGAAGTCTTACGCGACACTACCTCAATATCTTGATGTGATTAAAAGAAGCAACCCTGGATCTAAATACAAACTCATACCTAAAGAGATCAATCCAGGAGTTCATCAATTCATCTCTGTATTTTGGGTACTTGGTCCTTCGATTGAGGGATTTAAATTTTGTCGGTCGGTTCTTAGAATTGATGACACACACTTATATGGTAAAAATATAAGGATGTATTGCTTGTTGCTATAGGAGTAGATGCAGATGGTGGCTTATTTCTTTTGGTCTTCGCAGTTGTGGAGGTTGAGAACAGTGAAAATTGGGAGTGTTTTTTTTCTTGCAATCAATTATATATTTTTAATGTGTTGCCTCCTAGGAAAATTACTTTTATATCCGATAGAATGAGAGGTATTCCAAAAGCATTGTACAGAAGATTTGGCTCTCATCACCATCACCACTATTGCTTACAACACATTAAAGCTAATTTTAAAAAGAACTTTGGTCAGATACATTTACAAACCCTTCTTTAGCAAGCGGGTTATACACCCAAAACATGTGTGTGTGATCGGATACGGGATCAAATCAAGGCAACATCTCAAGCTGCGCATGACTAGATTGAGAGTAGTTTGGGAAGTGAATATATCGATCGGTGGACACTAAGTAAAGATGGAGGGAATCAGTTTTGCATGATGATAACTACTTGTTCTAAAAGATTCAACGGGGTACTTAAGGGGGCTCGAGCAATGCCCATACAGGCGTTGGTTATGAGGATATTTTATAGACTCAATCACTATTTTGTCAAGTGGTGAGAGGATGGAGCAAAGTGGGTGACGTTATTAACACCAAAAAATGAAGAGATTGTAGGAGCTCGTGTCAAGCAGGCTAGATCAATGAAGATTGTTAGATTTGTTGTAGATGAATGGTAGGTTACAGACAAACACGGTCATAATTATACTGTTAATTTACGAGGGACACAATGCGCATGCACTTGTAACATACCAGAATTGTAAAAATTATCATGTTCACATGATATAGCGGTTACGTCCAAGCAATTTGGGGTGCAAATATTTTGTATCACACATACGCTTCTGAGTGGTATCAATCAAGCCACTACAGAAATTCATACAAGCAGTGTTTCCATCTTATTATAGATAGTCGTTACTGGCCACCCTATAATGGGCTGCATGTGTTACCTCCTAAATATAAGAGACAAGCCAGACGTCCCCAATCAATATGCATAAAAGATACGATAGATGAAGGGTGGGAAGGAGCTCCAAAAGAAATTAGTGTGGGTATTGCACACAACTGGACCATATAGATCTCATTGTCCTACCAATCTAAATAAATAGCAATTAATAGGTACAATTTATTTTACTTGACCTCAGAGTGGATGAGGATGTTGTTACAGGTACAGATGACTTCAACTGGGTAGAAGTGTGTGAACAATTGATGGGTCAAGCTCCTACTATGAAGGGTGGTAAGATCAAGCTCGAATGGTTAAGAAATAATTATATGAATGTATCGATCGATGTGACTGATGAGATCATCAAGAGCTATGCCCATGTATATATACTTTATATGATCGGTACTATCCTATTTCCGAATTCCACTAAGGATTCGGTACATGTAAGATGGTTGTCACTTCTTGAGGATCTTGAGGAGTGTGGAGAGTTATCCTAGGGGAGTACGGTGTTAACTTATCTATATATGGAGATGACAAAAATGGCACTTGTGCAAAATAAAGAATTCAAGGTTTGCCTCACTTTGCTGCAGATATGGTCATGGGAGCAATGACATTGAACACCAGATTTGAGGGAGACCCACGCTCTTGATGGCCAAATTTCGTTGGGATGCAGGTATTACTAAGTTATTTTGTAATAGATATGATTACATATATATACATTTATTTCAATCTATACTAACACATTGTATATAAAATAGATAGAATGTTTCTAGATCTTGGCAAACCTCCCCAAAGGGTCATGAAAACTTCTATAGGAACGAGCTTGATAAAATAGAGGATGAGCATGCATAAAATCATAATATCTAAATATATTCAATCAATACATCATTTGTTACTAATATGTAAATTTACTTAATCTTCTTTATAGGTCAAGTGTATGCCCTATGAACTGGCTTTGGAGTCACTACCAGATATTTGCAGGAAAGGTGAAGATATATGGCGTGCTCGAGTCCCGATTATATATTTTGAGATTGTCGAAATGCACATGACTGATCGTGTGCTCCGACAATTTGGATTAAAGCAACATATTCCAGATCATGTAGAAATAATAGAGCAAAATCCCAGAAAAAGAGCACATCATGCAAATCGAGAGCTAATTCGACATGCTTTCATTCAGAATTGGGAGTTGAAGGAGAAGGCTGTAGTGATGGAGAGGGCTGACGCACCTGACCTAGGTGTGTACTTACGATGGTATTGGGGATTACTCGTTGATGGATATTTTGGGAGAACAAAGCTCCCAAGGAGTACATACCGAGAGGTCCAGTTAAGAGAGAGTTGGTAAGTGTATAGGAAAAATATACAATTATTTTGTGATTATTATTTTATTATCATCCACTTGCTAATAATCATCTTTCGCTTTTTATCTTATAGGTACAAGAACTCGATGAGGTTGCTTCTATTGCACATGATGTATTGAGAATGACTATCGAGCTAGGGGCGAGGAACGTATTCCTTCGCATCATCAAGAAGATTCGGTCCGCTCTTAGGTTGATGCATAATGCGAAACGTGATGGATGTAAGTAACGTCTCATAGGGTACGCGCGTCGCTGAGTCCGAGGACACA